AGCATGATAAAGTTTTTCAAGACCAATGACTTATTCATTGCAAATATCCTTTTCCAACAACATAAACAGTGGCTATACATGTAGACCTTGCCAAATGGAAGACAAAGGAATCAAATTGACTATATCTGTGGAAAGAGGGAGATGTGAGAAAAGCTCAATAATTTCAGCCCAAACAAGACCAGGAGTTGACTGTTGAACAGACCATCAATTGCTCACATGCAAGTTCAAGTTGAAGCTGAAGAAAATTAAAACTAGTAGATCAGAGTGAAAATATGACTTTGATTTTATCCCACTTGAATTTAGAGACCATTTGAAGAATAGATTTGATGCATTGAACACCAATGGCTGAAGACAAGCTGTGGGACTACATCAAGAACATTATCCATGAGGAAAGCAAAAGGTCATTAAAAAGGCAGGAAAGGAAGGGGAAAAAAGAAAAAAAAAAAGACCACAATGGATGTCAGAAGAGATTTTGAAACCTGCTCATGAATGGAGAGTAGCTAAAGTGAATGGAATGAATGGCAAGATAAAAGAGCTGAACAGAAGATTTCAAAGAACAGCTTGAGGATTCAGTTATTATAATGAAGTGTAAAAAGACCTGGAGTTAGAAAACCAAAAGAGAAGACTATGCTTAGCATTTCTCAAGCTGAATGAATTGAAGAAAACATTCAAGCCTTGAGTTATAATATTGATGGATTTGATGAGCAAAATATGGAATGATGCATGAAGCATCAAAAGAAGATGGAAGGAATACACAGTCACTGAACAAAAAAAGAACTGGCAGATGTTAAACTATTTCAAGAGGTGACATGTGATCAAAAATCAACGGTATTGAAGGAAGAAGTTGAAGCTGAAGTGAATGGTGAAAAACATGTTTCTATGAATTGATGTAAAACACATTTAGATGTTTCAAGAAACAGATTATCTTGGTTATCTAGTGCCGCTCTGACAAGAAATACCACCAATGGGATAACTTTAACATACACAAGTTTATTCTCTTACAATTTGGGAGGCTAGAAGTCCAACTTCAAAGTGCCAGGTCTAGGAGCTGTGTGAAACCCCTTCAACCTTGGGCTTCAGCTCTGCCTCTTGCCTCCAGCCCACTGAAGCTAGAGGCATCTCTTCACTCGGGCACCTATTGGCTGCTGAGGCTGACAAATCCAAGGTCAACAAATAAAATGACACAGTCCCGATGTTACCAAACAGCATGGCAGGCCACTGATTCAAGTCCATTGAAAGTCCCAAGATTGGCAGAGCATGGCAGGCTGCTGAAGAATGACTTGGCTATATGAAGGGTTCAAACATGCCATAAGCTAAAGACCATTCTCAAAGCTGCTTCTTATATATGGAAAGCAGACCACATCCCTAAAGTAGCTACTCAGCTGCTTGTGGTAGATCCCACCATGAAGGATTGCCAGTCTCATCATGGGGAATAAATACCACCAGCTGCTCAGCCACTCAACCAGGCCCAACCAAGTCGACAACAACCTTAACTACCACACAGATGCAGCACTGGAGACACTTATTTGCTATGCCTAATAATTTGGAGATGGCTCCCCGGCTAACTGACTGAAGGAAATCCATATATTTGCCCATTATAAAGAAAAGTGATGCAACATAATGTGGAACTATTGAACAATTTTATTAATATCACAGGCAAGTATAATTTTACTGAAGCTAATTAAAAAAATGTTTGCAGCAATATATTGACAGCCAACTTCCAGAAATGCAAGCTGAATTCAGAAGAGGACATGAAATATGGGATATCATTGCTGAAGTCAAATGGATCTTGACTGAAACTAAAGAATGCTAGAAAGATGTTTCTTTGTGTTTTATTGACTATGCAAAGGCATTTGACTCTGTGCATAATAACAAATTATGGATAATATTGTTGTTGTTGTTGTTATGTGCCATCAAGTCAGGCCTGACTCATAGCGATCCCTCCTTGGGTTTCCAAGGCAGTATCACTATGGAAGTAGATTGCCCCATCTTCTTTCTGAGGAGTGGCTGGTGGGTTTGAACCACCAGCTTTCTGGTTAGCAGTCAAGTGCCTTAGGCACTACGCTACCAGAGCTCCTGGATAATATTTTATAGAATGTAAATTCCAGAACACTTAATTGTGCTCATGAGGAAACTGTACATAGGGGGCTGTCATTCAAACAGAAGAGAAGATACTGCATTGTTTAAAATCAGGAAGGATGTGTGTGAGGGTTGTATCCTTTCACCATACTTATTCAATGTCTATGGTGAACAAATAATACAAGATGCTGAACGATATGAAGAAGACATGGCATCAGGATTGGGAAAAAACTCATTAACAACCTATGATATACAGATGACACTTCTAAAAGTAAGGTTAACTTGAAGCACTTACTAATGAAGATTAAATACTACAGTCTGCAGTGTGGATTATACCTCAACATAAAGAAAATGAAAATCCTCACAACTGGACTGATAAGCAGCATGACAGTAAATGGAGAAGAGATGAAGTTGTCAAATATTTCATTTTAGTTCGACCCACAATCAATACCCATAGAAGCAGCGGTCAAAGTATTAGATGTCATACTGCACTGGACATATCTGCTACGAAAGACATCTTTAAAGTGTTGGAGAGCAAAGATGTCACTTTGAAGACAGATGTGCCTGGCCAAAGCCATGGTATTTTTAATTGCCTCTTATGCATGTGAAAGCTGAACAATGAGTAAGGAAGACTGAAGAAGAGTTGAAGCCTTTCAATTCTGGTGTTGGTGAAGAATCCTGAAAATACCATGGACTACCAGAAGAATGAACAAATCTATCCTGAAGGAAGTGCCAGAAAAGTGAACAAATCTATCTTGGAGGAAGTGCAGCCGGAACGCTCCTTGGAAGCAAGATTGGTCAGACTTTGTCTCACCTACTTTGATCATATTTTCAAAAGGGACCATTCCCAGGAGTACGATATCATGTTTGATAAAATGGGGGGTGAGTGAAAAAGGGGAAGGCCCTCAATGAGATGGATTGACACTGTGGCTGCAGTCTCAATTATACCAATGATTTTGAGGAAGGCACATGACAGGGCAGTGTTCAGTTCTGTTGTACATAGCATCGCTATGAGTTGGAGCTGACTCAATGGCACCTAAAACAACATATTATTTCCTACTTGTTATCTTTCCTTCACTTTAGAAATAAGATAATTCTGCATAAACTTTATATTGACCAACTATTCTTGATTGCCAAACTTCTCTGGTGGAAGTAATGATTTCTTTTTGGTTAAGTTTGAACATTGTTCATGTACTTAAAGAACATATAAATAAGTAACTGTTTTAATTAACCAATTTACCTAGTTAACATAGTAGCCATACACAGATCACATCTACTTTCCCATAATTATCGTTCTTTTTTTTAACAAAACCTGTTAATTAGAGTGAAGGTGCTTAAGATTGTATCATAGTGTCTAAAGCCTTCTGCCAGCTTAACTATTCTCATTACATAGGGTTAATATCTGTGCTTTCTTTGAATTCTTAACAATACATGGTATGTGGTTTTTGCTTATTCAGCTACCTTTGAATTGTTAATAAATTCTAACATGTCCCTCTGGAAAATTTTCCATATTGAGAATAGGATTTCTCAGAACAATTTTGGTAATGAAAGGTGTGTAAAGCGTTTTACTTTGCTGAGAACATTTAACACATGACATGTACAAAATGAGAAAAATACAATATATAAGGCAACCCTGGTTGGGAGAAGGGGGAATTATTAACAGTGAAGGTTGACATTTATTTAGTGAAGTTTGAAAGTCCAACATTTATTTAAGCAAAAAAGTAAAAGAACAGGGTTTTTTTTGTGTGTGTTTTGTTTTCTTACATCAATATATGTATCGTCTAGAAAACCCCATAGAAACTTAAAAAATAGGGAGGGAAGAATAAGATATACTATTGAAAAGAGTGCAAAGGCAGATTATTTTTAATATAATCTTCTGCTTACATCTGGATGGCAGTGATTACATTTCCCCAAACAACAGTAAAAACAAAACTTTCTTTTTTAATTTTGTCTTTTTAAAAATGGACAACTTTGGAAATAGAAGAAAATACACACCCTTCCTCTTTTGGTTGATACCACATAGATAAATGTCTTGAAAGAAATTGATATGTCAAGAAGAATTGGAAACCCTCTTTCCTCCAGAGATCATGACTAGCTTGTAAGTTTGTATGTCTTTCATGCAAAATTTGTCAACAGTGATGGATCTGAATATTTTGCAGTGTTTTATTGTCTTTAAAATGAATAATACAAAATGTTTATCATAATTGAAATGTATTTTATCTCTGTAAGAAAATGTTAAACTGCATAAGTCATGAACTATTTAGCAATTATTTTATAGCTATATTTCATCTATAGCTTATATATATATATATATATATATATATATATATATATATATATAGATTGATTAAAACAAGGTTTTTAATTTGCTTTAGTGAAATGTGACCTTGGCAATTGAAATTGAATACCTTGGTTGGTATAATGCATGCAAGGCTTTTACTTGTCTGAATTTTAACTGAAATATCAGACATTCTGAAAATCTGTAGCAATGTTTTCAAATTTATATTTCAAGTTCATGTTTTCTTAAAGGATTACTCTCCACCCTATTACTAAGCTTTTTGCAGTGTTTTTTACCCTTCTGAAAAGATTCTACTCTGTGTACTATGTAAATATTTGCTGCTAATTCATTTTGATAGTGAGATTCCACTACTCACATTACCTACAGTCCACATCCTGTGTGTATTTATTTGACCGCAAGAAAAACCTATAAAAAAGGATAAAGAGAAGTAAAAGAATCATTTTTTTGTAGATGTTTAAGAAATATATTAATTTTTCAGGTATTCTTTTTAATGTTATTTTTAAAGTTACATTTTAAATATTATTTGCTTTAATTCTACACAATAGAATTATATGGGGTTGCTATAAGATATATAATGTGCTTCTCTTAATTTTTCTCTTCTATTTTTTTTTTTTTTTTCCAGTTACTGGCTGACCAACAAAGTTCCTATCAAAAGACCCAGCACAGGTCTCCTCATGTATACACTTGCTACAAGATTCTGTGATGAAATTCACCTATATGGATTCTGGCCATTTCCAAAGGATTTGAATGGAAAAGCTGTCAAATATCATTACTATGATGATTTAAAATATAGGTACTTTTCCAATGCAAGTCCTCACAGAATGCCATTAGAATTCAAAACATTAAATGTGCTACATAACAGAGGAGCTCTAAAACTGACAACAGGAAAGTGTGTAAAGCAATAAAGCACATTGAAAAACAGACAAAATAAACTGAATATGCACTTCTTTTCTGAAGATGCATCCTAAAATTTGAAAATAGGATCCAAACCAAGACTGGGTTTCAGCATTCACCAAGCGACTATACGATTGATCTAAGAGGTTTATAAGAAATCCATTACCAGCTGATGAAATATCTGCCAAGTGCTCTAAAAATCAAATATTTTGACTTCAAGGGTCCTAGTAAGTGCCACTTCCACTGAGAACACAGCTTGAATGTATAATCAGTAGTGTTTACAAGATCCAGCAATGCATTCATCGTTTGGTAAAGCAAATATGTTCATCCCTGCTGGGCTGCCACTGCAAAGCCAAGCACATTAGAAAAGGAACCCAGGAACACAACTCAGCCTTTCGGGAAACCAAACCATCCTTGTCGGTGGAACTCATGACACAAACAGTTTGAGCAGTGAAATCCATATGATCAAACAACTCAAGTAAATGCCTTCTGTCAGGACTCTGAGTCTGATCATGAATTTTATGTTTTTATTATGTTTCTATTTTTGTTTGTCTTCTGGAATCTCTTTTGGTTTGGGTATTAGGGTGCTTAAAATTCCTTTCTCAGATAAATACGAATGAGATAATAACCTTAAAATAATCATCTTTAAAGCTCTTACTTTTTTTTAAAGAACAATCACACAAAGACTTTCTTCAAAAATTTTATTTTGCACAACTCTAAACCTCCAAGTATTTTTCGATGGTGTAGAAGGTACCAGCTAAACTGTACCACTTAGTAATATTCTAAAACATATTCCATGTTATCCAAGACAGTAAAGTTAGCATAAAAAATGTACTTTTGGTACCAAAGATTATACTGATGTTTCTACACAACAAACCTTTCTCCTTTCATTAAAATATTATTGATATATTATTATGCTACTAATGTGAAAGTGTTCTCTAAATATTTTAATTTTTCCTAATGCAAACTTTATTTTTATTTGAATGAAGATTTCCACATCTTTTACATTTCATCACAATTTTGTGGAATCTCTTTGTCTTTAGAATAAATGTTTGATTGAGAGAGCTGAAATATGACTTCCAGTTCTTTAATATTGCCCTTATTATTCAAATGGAAAGATCTGCATGCTCTTTATACCACTGTTAAATTTCTAGTACAGAAACAATACCATCAGTAGAGTGTTGGTTCCATAGCAGAGGTGAAACTTTTTAAGAGGTTTAACAGTGAAACTATGTGTCAGTATTTTGCACTTCAAAATAATTAAATTTCCCAATATTTTTTTCTGTATAATACTTAATCATATTATCATATTAATTTTTAGAAACATTAAATTATTAATAAGATGAAGTAATTTTTTAAAACATTAATATAAAGCAAATTTGATCACTATGCCAGTTTTCTGGTAACTTATCCTATACTAGTAGGTAATTCTAATGACAAATTGTTTCTTTAGAAACAGAAAAACAGAAGCACTGAATTCCCACTCTTACTCCTGGTATTAAACAACTTCTAAGACTTCTTCTTTCTTGGAGAAGGCAGTCTGAGAAAAGAAGAAATAGCTTGGAGAATCTATTTGTTTTGCTTTTTTTTTTGTAGGGAAGGCAGCCCAAGAAAAGAAGAAATAGCATGCTATGAGTGTGTATGCACACACACACATACACACACACATATACATATATATCTACAGTATATGTGTATATATATTCATGGAAAAGGATATTCATACTGGTACAGTTCTCAATATTTTTAATATGTGGTATTATTTTTTACAGTATGACAAAACCTTAGGATATAGATAATATTTTCTGAGAATTTTTGTGTTTCTTAGAAAATAGAATGAATAAAGAAGAGGCATAGATAAATTGGGTAGAACATTGATGTACTCTCATCATTAAACCACTTATCTATTTGGAATTTTAAAACAATTAGGTATATGTTTTGAATGTAAATTGAAAAGTCTCATTTATGTATCCAATCAAATGTAGGTGACTTCAATATCCTTGATTTGAGCTAATGTGAATTGAGAGGGAGTCTAAAAGTCACAAGTAAATTCATATGGGTAAAATCCATATGAGCAATCATTCAAGGTAGGTCTTAAAAAGCCTCAGCAAGGTACCTTGCCATTTTGACTGCTTTTTCAACAAATGTATTTAAACAATTTTAAAGGCCACAGCAAAAGCATTGCAGCCATCCACTGTTCTGTGCATTGGTGTTTATCTCATAGATTCATTCAAGTAGTGCCTTTTTAGCTTCTTCACATTGCTTTGTTACCCAGTGCTTTGTGTTCTCTAAATGTTGCCCACTTCTGAAAATGTCCAGCATATAAAAAGGGCTTCAGTATTGACTGAGACTACTTTTGTTCATCTCAGGGAACTTTCAATACTCTAGAATGAATTCAATTAAAGGCATTTAGTGTTCAAAGAAGACAGACTGTACACGACCATTTCATTCCCCATTGTATACTTTTCCATCACCCCTCCCCCCTTGACTATCTGCTGTGGCCTTCGTACAGGGCCAGGGCAAGGAGATCATTGAAGGCTAACAGTAAGATTACAGAAAAGGATTGCAGTTTAACCCATTAGGGTATATAAGGGACTATGACAAAATCAATTCATAAATACTTGAAATATCTGGGCTTAACCCCTGTGTTGGGCAATATTATAATTCACAGCTTTACTTTTTTTTTTTTTCTTTTTTCTTTTCATGATTTAACCCTACACTTGGCAATGCTCAGGCAGCTGATTATGAAAATATCCTTGTATGTTAGAAAACATGGTTAATACTGTACTGTTGACATGAATAGGCCATGGAAATATTTTCATCTCTACTACCCAGCCTGTTCTATAATTAATATTAAATTACTCAGATAAAAAAATAAATCAGTAGCAGGTTTGCTGGGCAGATGAAATTATTGTGGAAGTTTTTTTTCTATCTGAAAGAAGGTGCTGGGCATTCAAATGTCTTCATATATTGTATATCATATGAATTGTATATCAGTTGCTAATGGGAATTTCTACATATATGCTTATAGAAGCAATCTATTTAAATAATGCTATGGGTAGTGTACATACCAACTAGTTATTAAGCTACAAAGGAAAAAAGGGTTGAACTAAGTCATTTATTGAGCCAGTTAGTCATAATGCATATTACGTGGTATTTGGTCCATAAGGAGTTGTTTTCATGTGGTTATTGTATGGAGTATTATAATTGTGAAAGGGTTGTGGAAAGAGTTATGTAGAGTTAGTTGTTATCTCTGCAAGTTTGAAATTTTCCTCATCAATCATTATCCATATACCAATGTTTTAAAAAATGAGTGAGTGACGATTATTGTTAGTATTTCAAGAAAGTCCAAATAAAGCCCACCTAGAAATAGATATTTTATTATATATGTGTTATAGATATATCTATATAGTACAAATAGACATGTGTGATGCATATACACAATGTTATATATGTGTATCTCTGTGTATACACACAGGGTCTGTAATATATACACACTAGATTTGTGTTATACTGACATCTTCAGGGTCTGCACTGTGAATCACTCTGGAGATAAGCCCATTTTAGAATAAAGAAGCTATTTTGAGACTTCAGTCACTAAACCTGCTTTAAGAGGGATCTACTTTATAACTGACTTCAATGTTGTTTATAGCTAGTGTTACAATAAGGGTCTAGTATATCCAAAACTTTACAAAAAAAAAAAAAATGTCTTTAAGCTGGTAATGTATTTAAATTGCAGTTTTCAGATTGTGGCTTTCAGCCTCCTTGTGTCTCTCAATTAAGTAGCACTTTTTAATAAATACTGTTTCTTTGTGTAGGCAAAAGCACAAATGTTTCAAATGTATATAGCAAGAAGTAAAGAGAGTTTACAGAGATAGTATTGCTGCACAGGATAATTGCTACTGAGTAATTCTTATACAATTTGTGGAGCTGAAAGATGAGGTTTATTCTGTCAGGTTCATTCTGTTCAACACTGTTTCCCTATTGTTTGTGTATAGCAATTGGGTATTATCATTTTATCATTTGTAAAATTGTAAAATAAATTATATCTTTTTTTTTTCAATTTTTATTTCATCTCTTATATCCAAACTCCTGATTCTGCTTTATGTCTCAATGCCAGATACAAGTTTTGCTAACACATTTGTCTTCCCCTACCTTCAGTCCATCCATACATTAGCAAAACATTTCTTTTAAAGGTTTTACATGGGAATATGAACAATATTGAAAGACCATGAATATCAGGAAGTCCTTAGCAATTGTGTGTGTTGCATTCTGTGGGTGAAGTAATGGAATAGTACATATGTGGTGGTCCTTTATATCCAATTTATATTCTTGCTAGTTGCTGTCAGTGGGCCACTCTAGTGTCAGGGCTGAGAAGCCAATGGTTCCTTAAACACTGCACACTCTTACAAACTGTCCTTTAACTTGTGATTTTGACTGCTATTTCCTGCACTTGCTACTGTTTGCAGTTTGCTTCTGAAAACCTGAATGTTTAAATCCATTGACATGACTTTCCATAACTGACAAGTTTATGTTTTTAGATCCTGTACAGTTTTCTGCAAAAATTATAACTGTAATTTCATGAGGTCAGTTTTAGCACTTTTCAATTTTTAAACATTTTCTGGACACCAAAAATGAACCATTAATAAATATATTTACTCCTCCCTTATCAAATATCTCAACATCTGATGTTCTGAATTTATGACAATAGTAAAAAATCTACTGTGTTTCTATGTTGTGCATTAATGATGTTCATCTGGCAATAACAAATGCTAAGATGTGAGGCGAGAGTAATGCTGGATGTGACAGTTAAGGTTAATAGTTGAGCCATGAGTGTCAGTGATTTGGCAGTTATGCAATGAGGTAGTCATCCTGTATTTTCATGTAATGCCTATTTTAGCATAATTACCTGGTTTTGGAATGTAACTATGTCAATAAGTGAGGGTTGAGTGTGTAGATCTTCATATTTGCATTTTGTTTTCAAACATTCTTTTATTTTCAAAGAACCACACAAATAAGTTATTTCTACCTCTTTTTGAGACATAATCAGACTCCATCACACAATTATCACATTTGATGTAGGTAGCAGTTTTGTGGCCTTTCATGTGAACTTTTTTTTTTACTTTGAATAAATTTTTTAAAAGACAAATGGATGAAAAAATATTTCCTCCTAGGTCAATTATCATTTAAAATGTTTATTATTTTCATGTAGATATAAAGGTATTCTTGTTGGAAATGTGGTTAAAATTCTTCTCTTTAGTCTTATTTTATAATACAGTGGAATTCTTTTCAAAGTATGTTCTGAGAAACATTCTTGTTAAAGGTGCTTTGCAAATGGATGATTTGTGCTGACATATTCCATACAACTCTCAGGATTCATAAGACATTTAGTGTATTGAAAACTCTGAGAAGTCTGGAAATAAAACAATTCAAATTTTCTAACCAAGAATTCTATTCTAATGCACCTTCAATATATATGGAATATATTTTAAGAAATACCAGAATCCACTATTTTTTTTTTTTAAATCAACCTCTCCAGAGAATTAAAGCCTGAATATATATTTATGTATTTGTCTAACAATACTCACACACACTTATGTGTATACACACAGACACACACA